CCACATCCAGACTTCCCTCTCATGCTAATCCAAATAATCAGAGAACCCTAAGCTTCAGAAGAGACTTTGGAGGGTTCAGTCCAACTCCCTTGAACTCCCATGAAAACTGACAGTATCCAAGTGGTCACCTAGTCTTGATCTCCAGTGACCAAAAAAATCATTACCTCCCAAGGCAATCTGTTCCCTAGTTCTAATTGTTAAGTTTTTCTACAGAGCTGAAATTGCCCCCCTTTAACTTCCATCTATTGATGAGTATTAGTTTTTCTGATCCTACACAGGCATAGTATTATAGTAAGTTGTTGCATGCAGAAGACTCGCCTTCGAATCCTGGTTCTGTCACTCACTCGCCTGGAACCTGAGGATACCCCTTACAACTCACCTACCTCCCAGGTAAAGATAAAATGAAATAATTTATGAAAAAAAACACTTTTGCTATTTAAGTAAACTATCATAGAACAAGTCTGCTCATTCTCCCATGTCCCAGGTCTTCAGATTATTTGAAGATAGTGATCTCCACACACTTAGATTTTCTTCCCTAGGCTCAGTACCCCCAGTTCCTTCAATTAATTCCCACAGAACAGTTTCAAGATTACAACCCCAAATTGATTTCTTGCAAATTGGCAGCACGATTGAGATTTCCCCATTTCCCTCCTCACCTTTACCTCCTCCTACACTCTGGTTTCCTTTGAGACTCAGTCCAAACACTACCTATTACAAGGAGTCTTCTCCTAAGGTCACCTTCCACTGATCCTGTATTTAACTTCTATGTACACATATGTGTACGCTGTCTCCCCCATCAACACATGAGCTCCTTGAGAGCAGTTTTTCATTTTTCTTTGCATCCCCAGTGTTAGCATAGTGCCTAGCAGACAGTAAGTTTTCAGTAAATGATTGATGTAGGATACAAGTCAAGTCTCAGCAGGGTGACTGATCAAGAATAATTGATAGGGGGTGCTAATTCTTAGCCTATTTTTTACTCAATGAAATGCCTCTGGAAAGGCCTGGCTATCATACGTTGGGGCCTTAGTCATCTCCCCACTGTCAAGGTTAGTTAACTGTACCTGTCATGCCAGGACACCAAGCATTTCCTCAGGTCAGTCTTTCTTCGCTGACTCAACTCTTGACATCTGACAACTGGCAGAGCCTCTCCCTCATTCCTGCTTTGCCAGTGTCGAGAAATAAATCCAAAGGGGCCACAGCATTTAGGAACAAAATTTATTCCAATTTGAAACAGAGAATTTATTTCAGGAGAAAGATATGAAAATCAATTTCCATCAGGTATTTCTGGAATAAGGAGTCAGGGCCCGACATCAGAGCAAACTCCTGCTATCTCACCTAGCTGGAAGCCACACCCACCCACATGGCTAGTTGGCTGGCACTGGGGCCATCCCTTCTGCCCCGCCCCTCTACCCTCCCCCCACCCCAACACTCACAACGATACATGCATTTCAAATGACAAGGTTTAAAAAACAGCATCTTATATAGTATCTTTTTAAATAGGTTAATGTTTAAATTGTCTTAAATCAGGATTGTAGAATATACAAGTATTACCAAATAATTTCCACCACATTGGCACTTTTAAAGAATCTCGTGCACTACTATGAGGGGGCATTGGCACAACTATACTTCTTTAGAAAAAAGAGGGGGTGCTGCAGTAGATTTTATCTTTGTTGGGAACTTGGAACACCTGGATTCAGCAATGACAGAAAAAAATGGTCAGCACACTCCAGAAGCATTTGAGAAAAATGCATTTACCAAGTGATGATTAAAAAAAAAATACATACAAGCACACACACGCTCTCACACACACATACACACATACATACATACATACATACATACATACACACACATGGGAGGGGTACCTGGGAGGGGCATTATGGCAGAATGGTGCCCCACCCAGCTAAAAGCAAAGCCAACATCGTTGAGAAGCAAAAAGTCAAAAGGTTTGGCTTGGGCAAGAGGAGAAACAAAGAGAAGCTGGCAGAGATGGACAATCTGGAGCCTTGGGCACTGGATTTTTATGGAATGATGTGGAAAAAGATTGGCCTCACAGTGGGTCACCTTCTTTCCTGCCTCTCTCCCTGATTAGGTTGGCATACTAGCATTGGTGGCCAGCTAAACTGAATGTCCTCAGTAGGGTAAAAGGGCTATTGGGAAGGAATCCAGCAAAACAGTAGAAGGTAGGGTTTGGGAGGTGATCATCTGTTCCCACTCTAGGACTGTCTTTCACATTCCTACTCCTCCCTTCATGCACACTCTCCACCTCCTCTTGCCTGGAAAGGAACAGGTGTGTCTGGGTTCAAGTTTGGCACTTTTCTGATGAACGGGCATACTAGAAAATTCAACACGTCAAACAAGGGGCTGCACCAGCGAGGTAAGGATGTTTACCAACCAATCAGACTTTGGTCTCTAGGATATGTCTGGAGAATCCCCAGACACACACGCTGCAGACCAAAACTAAACATTTACTCCTTTCTTCTCTTGGGTAGCAAGGCCCCCATAAAATTTTCTATTATTTCTCTAGATGGCAAATAGTATTGAAATAACACACAGCATTCCCTACCATATAAAAATTCATCCAATTCCATCAAGAATCATGAAATCTCTACTGCATCAAAGGGCCCCTCTCTGGAGCCACTCAGGAACCTGAGGGGATAGGGCAACCTGTCCTATTTGCTATCCTTCTACTTTTGGGGTCCTGAGTTTCCTGGTGTAGGTCCACCGCCAGCAATGGACCCCATGCCAGCCACTGGCACAAAAGAGGGCAAAAAGGAATGGGGCTTAGCACCATCTGCTCCCTAAGGAAGCTATTTGGACTCACCCCAAGAAGTTGGGTTTGTTTGGTGTATGGTTTAGGTTTCCGGTAAAAATCCTCTTATATGATTTCATGCTACAAAAAAGACCTTTTTTGGCATAGACACGAGAGGGAAACTGGTTCCAAGCAGCTAGTCACCCCTAAATGGGATTAAAACTAGACAATCAGGAATGTAGCTGTTGTCTCAGATGCCGGCCTTCTTATCCTTAGGCACGAGGCTATCTAACCAGAGGGCCGAGTTCTTCTGGGCAGGCTCTGACGATGTGCAGCCTCCCACAGTGCTTTCTGAGATACAACATTGATGTCCCTTGCCTCATATATACCAAAAGGCAGGAAGGAGGACTGAAGGGATGACGAGGGGTGGAGGAGGGAGGAAGAAAGAGGGGAAAAGAAAACATGACAGCCAAAAGAAACGAAACAAACCACGCAACAGACTACTTGAAGTGTAAGCTCCAGACTTAGTGTTATGGATCAAAGGCATCTCCGGCGGTTCATTTCCCGTTACGTTTTGTGCAAAAAAACACTGAAGTAGTGTTCAGTCTACAATAAAACGATAAAGCCAATCTCCCCTTCCCTCCCCCTAGGGGAAAAAAAGGGAAGAGAGAAAGAAACCCAAACTGGGACGCCTTCTTTCACACAGTCTGCTTTGGGGGAAGGGGTTCTTCATGCTCCATCCACCAGGGTCGGTCCTAAGTGCTACTGAAGCAGAGCTGGGGAAGGGCAGGGCACAATCCTGCTGGCAGCCAGGGGCCGGACTTCCCATTACTTCTAGCGGAGATGTCCCTTGGCTATTGGGTGCTGCTGTCTTCCTCAGTGGAAACCTAGGGAGGCACTGGCATTTGGCACCTCTATTGGCCTCAGCTTCAAAAGGACCCAAGTGAAACACTTGCTTCCTTTGGCACCTGGGATTCAGGCTCATTTGCAAGCCCTGGATGTCCATTAAGGTCCTAAGGCACCCAGCCTTCTTGCCTAAACAGCCTGATTCTGACTTTGGCAATGCCTGTAGATCCACCTCCCTTGGAAAAAAAAAAGTGCCTGTGCTGCCCCCTACTCCCACCCCCCAGACCCCCAGGCACAGGCAGCTCTGGACAGCAATCTGTGCAAGTGCTTTGCCAAGGAGTCACCAATGGGCTTGGACTCTCAAGTCCAGGCCTGAGAAGCTTCTGAAGAGGTCCTCTTTCCTTCCAACAAAAAAGGAGCCAATTTCTGCCTCTTTCCCTTGAGATCACTTAAAAGGAACACTCCCCCTGCTCGTCTCCCCGGGATGGGCCAGACCAAGGCCCTGAGATCTGTTCGGCTGCACAGTTGACACAAGCCCTTCTGAGGGACCTTGCACCTGAGCAGAGCAGGAGCTGTCTGCAGAGCTGCATGGGAACAATCTGACTCCCCTACCATGGGCAGCAGCATGCTAAAAAGCCAGAAGCAGAGGTGGGAGCTCAGGAGCCCCGAGGAAAACCTCCAAACCAATCACAAGACTTTGGTGTTCGATGCGTGTGCTGAATCACTTGGTACACTGGAACATCTTCACCACACCAAGAAAGGGGAGGCTTGAGGAAAGGGGCTGCTACCCATTTACAAATGAGGAGGCATCAACAGAGTACATTTGAGTATTCCCCCCACACCCACCCACCCACCCACCCAAAAAAGATACAGTCAGGCACTTCCCAAGGGTTGGCAGCTGTTGCTTGGCCAAGCTCCCACCTTTCGAAGCCCACTGAACGAAAATACAGCCTGTAGCAAACTATATATAGAACATCAATAACTTAAAAAAAAAAGAAGAAAAATCACAGTCTCCATATCTTTTATAATCAAGAAGAAAGGAAAAAAAACTTTTAAAAACCCAGACTATATTCGATGATGCACTGAAGGAGGCAGGGGGATGGCTTGTTGGGGTCTATTGGTCATTGGATGGGTGGGGGCTTTTGCTTCCATTCTCGGGAGGAACACCACTCCCCAAACCCAATATCATCACAGTGGGCTGTGGATCCTGGACCAAGCAGGGAAGAGGGAAGCAAGCAGGTCTGGCGATCTTGACAGAGGCCCCCTGGAGCTAAGGGAGGGGGGGTATTGGCTCCCTCCACCCCCCAATAAGTTCAGTGAGTCCATAAAACTTGGCCAAGAGGTGGGAACTTGTAACCGAAAATAGGGTAGAGTTTTTTGCTTAGTTTTTGTTTTGTTGTTGTTTTTTTTTTTTAAAAAAGCGAGCGACAAAAAATCGAGCCCACGAGAAGGCCGCCTTTGCTGTTGGCAAAAGGTGAAGAGGTGCACAAGGTGTGGAGAAGAGTGAAGTGTATCCCCTGATAACTGTGAAATAAAAGCCATTTGTTAAAAATATGAAAAAAAAATCAACTACTCCTGTGGACAGAGACATGAGATCCAAGGTAACACTGAGCAAAATTCGCCACTCCACAGATCAGACAATTGGCAATCATTACATCATTAAAAAGTAAAGATATTTTTCCTGTAATTTTTTTTTCAAAAAAATTTTTTTTTGGTCTTTTCTTCACGTTGAGGCCTCTTAGGGGAGAAAGCAGGGTCAGACCAAGTTATATTCTTTCAGATTGAGCTGTAGGATGGTGTCTTTGACAGCAGCAAAGACGAAGCGGATGTTCTCCGTGTCTGTGGCACATGTAAAGTGAGAGTAGATGATTTTGTCGCTGTCTGGGTTTAAATCCACAAACATCTTGAGGATAAACTCCCTGGCTGCCTGGGCATCCCTCTGTGGTCCTGAAACAAGGATAAAGCAGAGAGGGTAAAGGAGTCAGTTATATTCACAACACAAGAGTCTTCAGGGAATATATTCAATTGTGCCTCTCCAGGTGACAGCGTAGGCCTTCCACAAGGACCCAGGAGAAGAAAGTATCAAGCCCCTCTGGACTGTCAGTGTATCAAGAATTCAATTTCGTTCAATTAAAAAGTTATTAAGATATATATGCTGAACACTGTTCCAGGCACAGAACACATGGGGAGTAAGTCATTTAACCATCCTGGGATTCAATTTCCCCATCTGGAAAATGAGGCAGTGGGATCTGGTATCTCGAAGATTCCTTTAGCCTCTAACATTCTAAATGTGTGTGTGTGTGTATCTGTCTGTCTGTCTGTCTGTCTGTCTATCTTGGACCCCTTTGGCAGTCTGGCGAACACTTCTCAGAACAAAGTTTTCAAATTATTGAAGGAAATGCTAAATTCAGCTAGAGGCTAATGAAAATAAAGATGTGATTTTTTTTCCCCATTCGAGTTCACAGATCCCCTGAACTCTATCCACAGATTCCTTACATGAATCCCACATTAAGAATCCATGTTTTGAAGCATCTTTGAGTACCAACAGTCTATGTTCCAGGATCTCTTTGAACCTCTCTTGGTCTATGATTCTATGAAATTCTAGTGAAACTGACATTTTTCCAGTCTTCCATCAAGCTATTTCTCTCAAAAATCCAGCTCTATAGTAGTCAGTACTAATTCTTAAACAACAACCCAAAAAAAATCCCCCACACTCAGACCATAAAACCTGAACTTTATGAATCCTCTCTGGCTTATTCCAAGCACTAATATTCTGTCTCTGTCTCTAACCATCCTACTTCACTTCTCCTCTCCCAACAAATCACTGCATCTTGACACTACTATTGCAAGCTGTGCTGTCCAGCTAGGTCCTGTTCTCAGGTCACCTCTCTGGAACTCACTTCTCTGATCCATCATCTCCTTCCTTCTTTGGGCCTCTTCAGTAACAGCACTGAAAATAAAAGGTTTTAAAGCATGGGACACAAGCAAGATGACCTAGAAATCTGAATGCAGGGAAACAGATGACTTCACAAATAGGTTTCACCAAGACTCAGTCAAATGAGACCCATGACTAGATTATGGAATTGGAAGGACATCCCTTATTCAAATAAAACAGGAAAGGTTAAAAAGTGGGGCAGAGGGGAGGAAAGAAGATTAGGACTCTATAACGGGAACATATTCTTTATAAGGAAATCTAAGGACATTGGGCAAAGCTTAATGGATGCAAACGCAGAGGCACTTTTATCACTGTAGTATATCAGAGACCACCTAGCTAGAACTAGGAAGTATATGAAAGATTTGGAAAACAAATCATAAGACTGGTACAAAGGTATGATTTAGAAATGATGGGAGATGGCAACTGCTGGACAGTAATCCCATCCCCCCCCAAACAGAGCAGGTAATAAAATTACTGATTTGCATTAATGATAATTTCATCCTTAAAAAAGTAAAAGAACCAACAAAAGAAAAATACATTCTGGATCTGATTTTCATGAAAGGAAAAACTAAGTTACTGGGAAGAAATGATGAGAATCTTGAGGGGAAGTGACCATTTCATCTCAGAATTTGTGACAGAGAGAGAAAACAGGGCATAGTCTTATATGACTCTTGGATTGGGGGGGGGCTCAGAGAGAGAATAAAGTAGGATCTCATGGACAAGGATTTTACAAGGAAATGCAGGTCAGAAGGGATATGAAGCTCTCAAGAATCAGATTTTGACGCTCAATAGAAAAAACTGCAATGATAAAGAAAAAGGAGAGTTGTCAAAAAAAAAATGATACAGATGAACAAGGAATTCACCAAAAACCTAGATTTTTTTTTAAATACATATACCAGTTGGAAGCCAAGGCAGGTAACAAGGTTGAACAAGGATGAACACCCAAAGTGCGACATGGTCCCAACAGAGCAGTGTTAGGGGAACTAAAAGCTGAGACAAAGCAGAGGCTGCTAGGAGGACCAGTGACAAAACATCTCACTCCTCCTGGCAGAGGAGCAATGGACTCAAGGGGCAAAAGTTTTGAGACTTGGCCAATGTAGGAATTGGTTTTGCTTGACGATGCATACTGGCTAAAGGAGTTTTGTTGGTTTTTTCTTTTTCTAGTGGGAGAAGGGGGTAGAAGGAAGAGAAAATGGAGTTTTGTTAGATGGAGGGTAGAAAGGGAGTATTTTTAGGTATTCTGGAGAAAAGAAAGTCAGAGAAGGAACAGAACCATGGCTCAACATGGATAGGACAGTGACTCATGACAGAGAAAAGGCTAGGCTATATAACTCTTACTGTGTTTGTTTTATCTTCCAAGGAGAATTCTTTGCACGGGAAAGGACAAAACAAATCGGCAATAGGGATCTGACACCCAAGATAAAGAGGGAAATATTAAGAGAACATCTAAGTGTCTTTAATTCACCCATTAAGCATTTAATAAACATTGACTATAGGACAGGTGCTTGTCCAGGCACTGGGATACAAAGACAAAAAAACCCAACCACCCCCCGTCCCTATCCTCAAGGAGTTTACACCATACTGAGGAGTAGGGATAGGGTGGGTTCAGTGCATGCCCAGGAGGAGACATGGACAACATGTACTCAGATAACTGATTACAAGAGAAATTCAAAAAAATTGCAGGAGGGCACAATAAATAGAGGAATCAGGTTGGACCTCGTTCATATGAAAGCTGCACTTACCCTGAGCTTGGAAAGGAATCTAACAGGTGAAAGGAAAAACCAGGTCCATGACAGAGTGTGTGCAAAGGCACAGAGATGACAGATGGGAGGTTCTCTCTAAGTCCTCGGAGACAGAGGAACCACCTCCTTGGAGGCTGACAGAACTGACTTGAGACTATGCTGTCATTGTCAGCAGCTTCTGAAAAGCTCTGGAAAGCCAGAGATATCACAGTATTGGAGAAGAGCAAGTGTCTCAGTTTTCAAAAGGGTAAACAAGATAGAGCAAACTTTAAGTCAATAAACTTACTTTTGACTCCTGGCAAGATTCTGAAGTGTATTACTAAAAAAAGATGGCTACTAGAACATCTTAGTAAAAGGAAACAAGGATCAGTAAGATTCAGCATGTCTTCATCAAGAACAGGACAGAAATCTTGTTTTCTTTTTTGGACACAGTTACTCGACAGGTAGATCACAGAGAGAGAGAGAGAGAGAGAGAGAGAGAGAGAGAGAGAGAGAGAGAGAGAGAGAGCGTGCGTGCATGCTTAACCTATATATTAGGAAAGCCAACGACAAAAACTTCCATGCTATTCTTGTAGAAAATATGTTGTAGACTAAATAACTAAACAATCAGACAGATTTGGAACTGGTGGAATGTCTAGACCCAAAGAGTGGTAATAGTTTATGTTTGATGTCAACTTGGAAGGTCTCCAGTGGAGTACCCCACAGATCTAGGCCAGGCTTGCACTGCTGAACATTTTTATCAATGAATTAGATCAAGACCTAGATGGCATGCATTCACAGAAGTGAAAAGAGAGAGCTAACACACTGGGTGACAGAATCAGGATCCCAAAAGCTCTTGTCCCAGAACACTGAGACAAAAGTTACCAGGAAGAAGTTTCAAAGAGATAAATATGAAGTCTCACACTCAGATTCAAAAGATCAACTTAACAAGTGTACGAGGGGGAAAGTGTGGCTAAGGAGCAATTTGTATGAAAATGTTAAGTCACTAATATAATACAGAAGCCAAGAAACCTAATGAGATTTTAGCCTACAAACAGAAACAACAGAGTATTTCTGACTACTACCTCTGCTCAGATCAGATCAGATCACATTTTAATTACTGTGTTTGGAAGAACGCTGATAAGCCTGAGAGGGGTCCAGAGGAGGACAAGGAGCATGGCAAAGACCATATCACATTAGGATCAGTTGGAGGAACTGGGGATGGTTAGCTTGGAGAAGAGAAGGCTTAGGGGAGACATGACCAACTATTTTTATGCACGTGAAGGGTTGCCACTTGCATGATAAATCAGACTTGCTCTTCTTGGTCCCAGAAAGTAGGAGGAAGAGCAGAAGTCAGAAGCTGTAAATTTACACTTGAAACAGGATCAAGCCTCCCAATAACTGGAGCAATCCCCAAGAGGAAGAGGCTCCCTTCAGAGGGACTCTCCCTTATCAGAGGTCTTCAGCAAAGCCTGGCTGACCCCTTATTGACTACATGGTAGGGAACTGTTGTTCAGGCATCAATCAGACTAGATGGTCTCTGAAATCCCCTACAATTCTCATTTTCTGTGATTCTTTGAAATTCTAGAGAGGAAAAGTAGCATGTGTGCCCAAGCAAATAAGATCAAACTCCACTGAACAAAACACAGAAGATCTCACTTCTCCAGCTAGAAGCTGAAGCCACCAGTATCCTGCTACAAGTCTGGCCACATTTGTCAGACAGAATAGTAAGCTTCTTTCACTCCTGCCACCAGAGGGCAAAAGACTCCAAGGGAACAAGAAACTCACTGGCAGGTCAAAACCTCCAGAAGCAACAGAGGAACAGGGGTTTGGCCCAGAAGCAGAAATGGAGAAGGTGGGTTAAGAAAGAAGGGCAAAAGGGGGAATAGTGAAAAGTAAAGGTAAAACATGCCTTCCCCTCAGACAGCTGGGTTACCACTAGTTTGTCAGACACAGTCCCAACCTCAGAAAAGAGTGTGTACACTCTGAAACTAGGGACTGTTTATAAAGCTTTTTGTCTTTGTATGCCCAGTACCGAGCCCAGACCTTGGGGGAAAGCACGTACTTAATAAACATGCGTTCAACTTGAGAGGTGACTGGTCGTTACAGACAGAAAGGCTGGTCACAAGGTCACAAAACCTGTTTTCTTGGTAAAAAAAAATATATATAGATATAGATATAGATATATAGACATAGATATAAAAAACAACATCAAGCCTATGTGTGATTATAATGGCCAAAATGGGCCCTGGTAAAAAATTGAAAACCGGCCCCTCTCTCCCTGCTTTGTAGAGGCTCCCAGAGTCCTGGGAGTGGGGGTACTGCACATACTACTGGGGCTCTTTGGAAGGGCTCCCTTGTCAGCTGGACAGCTTTTTTTCTCCTCCACTTCCAGAAGATAGTATGAGGCGGAAGAATGTATAGGTGAAGAATGCATACAGAAATAAAGGTGATGTAAAAGCAAGTGATATCTATTAAAAAAAAATCTATCTTAAAAGGGCAATAAAAAAAAATTGAGCACCACCTCCAGTGAACTTCATGTCACTAAACTATCATTAAGGAAAATGGTCCTACTCAGAGAACAAGGCTGAGAAATGTCCAGCCACTCTCTCCTTGCCCTGTATCTCAAAAAAAAAAAAAGCACGGAGAATCAGCATTCCCTACCTCAGAGGGGAGTTAAGTGATTAAGCAATTTATGATTTTTTTTAAAAAGTGTGTCAAAAGGGAAACATTAGGTATTGTTGTTATCCTAATTATCTAACCCCATGCTACATTAAGCCTATAAACCCTTCATGCTGCTTTTACATCAAGGCAGTTTGCCTGGAAGAGAAGGGAACCAAGACATCTGCCTAGAACCAAGTCAATTCTTCTTAGCAGAACTGGATTTCCCATTCCTGAGCAGATGCACACAGGATGAGGCAGCAGTGATCCAAAGCCAGCTCCTGACATTGTAATTAGCGCTCCATCTTGGCTTCTTTTCTCTGCCTGTCCAAATGTTCCTAGTCTTGCTCCCTATTCAGTTACCAGATTCTCTGATAAGAGAAAGGTTAAGAACACATGGGCCTTTCATTTCTACTAATTCTTAGTGTTGGTAAAAAAAAAAAAAGTTGGTTGATAGAGAAATTCAAAAGCAATGGCCTTAGAATCCTCTTTGTGTTCTAGTATCAGCACAGCCATGTTCCAGGTGAGAGGACTGAAGGCAGTCTCTCTCTGACATCAGACATTCTCTTCCTCTTTTAGATGCTCCTGGAGGGCTGCACATTGATGACACCCTCTCATCCACAATGAATCAAAGCTACTTTCTCCTTCATGGAAGCAGGCAGACTACTGAGTGATCAGAATTCACTGGCACACCAAACCTGGCACTCCCTGACTGGCATAATGCCCGATGGCCTAGTAGCTGGCTGACAGCAGCCAGCAGAGGGAGCTCTCATTGCAACACTGTCCCTCCTGCCCAGTAGCCCCACTCCTACCTGTCTGCCCCAAAACTGGCAGAGCTGACGTGACCCAGGCAAGTCATCCTGTCCTTCTGGTCAGCCTACCATCCTCTACCTAATGTACCTTTCTGTTTCAAGTGGCCTGAGGTCAGATCAATGTGTCTCTATCACACCCTTCCATTTAACAATCAGCTGATGCCAGATGGCCTCAGGAGGATGCTCAGCTAGAGCACTGCCTGCTCTAGAAAACACAACTTTGACTCAGGGTCAACGGGAAGGTCAGTCTTAGTGAGAAGATTTCTCTAATTACATGGTAAGCCCAATGAAACCTTCCCCCTTTAAAAATCTCCTCCCAACCAGTCTTACCATCAAACTCGGGGAAATAGTCCACCAGGTGGGAGTATAGGATCTTATCTTCCAGCAGATCCTTCTTGTTGAGGAAGAGGATTACTGAGGAATTCTGGAACCAGGGATAAGTGATGATGGTCCGGAACAGGGCTTTACTCTCCTCCATTCGGTTCTGACCAGGGAAGGAGAAAAGAGGAAAAGGAAGAACAAACTTGGTTAAAAGGCCATTTTCCTTTTGGCTTTTCTTTGTATTCCCAGCACTTAGCACAGTGCCTGCCACCTAGCAGGCACTTAATAAATTTCTGGTGACTGACTGAGTTTGAAAATATCTCAATAACGGGATAAAGGTCAATCACCTGGTCACCTACATATACATTCAACTACAAAGGTCTCTCTCTGTTCTTTAGGAATTCCTAAGGACAAGCCCATAGAACAGCAGGAATCCATTCAAACAGCCGCCCCTCCCATCAGCACGTTCTTTCTGGTCTATGTCCCCAACTCCTACCATAACTCAGAGGAACCAGAGCTCTAAAATGTGCCTATAGGAATTAAAACCTATTTCCTGTTTTTCCTAATTTAATAGCAGAACTGCTATAGCCATCGGTTACCAAGAGAAAGCCATCTCAGAAGCAGGGGTCAGTTAAAGGGCAAGTGGGTAAGGAAGGGCAAGGGTCAATCAGAGCAAGTTAAGCCATCTCAAGGAATACATCAATCTGATAGCTCCTTTCCCCCACGGGCAAGAAAAACTACAAACCTGCCTACACAAACACCATAACACTGCTCTCAGAAAGATTTCATAATATTCTATAAACCCTGCATTCTCACACAGATAAATTACTTAGTCCTACAGCATCTTTTTCTAGGTGTTTGAACTCAAATGGAAAAATTAATTAACAGAGTAGGACTTACTTCTGAAAATTCACCACCTCTAGAATATGGAAAGACATCAACGTTTCACAGCAGGGTTTCTCAACCTTTTTTGTCATAGAATCCTTGAAACCTATGAACCCTCTTCTCAGAATAATGTTTTTAAATGCACAAATAAAATTTATAGGATTATGTAGGAAATTACAATTATATCAAAACCTAGTTATCAAAATATTTTTTTAAGATTTTTTACAGACCCTAGTTAAGAACCCCTAATTTTGCAGAACGAGTGCAAATTTATTTGCAGGAGAAATGGGTTTTGATCTGCTGCTTACTAGCTATGTGTTTTGGGGTAAGTAATTTTACCCCTCAATTTCAAGTTCTCCATGTGTCTATGAATCTAGAGAATACTAATTTCACTTTAATAGCAGAACTGCTGTGGCAATCGGTCATCAAGAGAAAGCCATCTCAGAACCAGGGATCAGTTAAAGGGCAAGTGGTTGAGGAAGGGTGAGGGTCAATCAGAGCAAGTTAAGCTGTCTCAAGAAATGTATCAATCTGATAGCTTATTTGTTCCCTACCCACAAGGCTGATGTAAGGAAAACCGTTTGTAATGTATAAAGGCAGAGGTTGGACATAAAGTCATTTAAGGACTCTTCCAATTTCATTATCCTTTGTAAATATAAGTTATTATGAGGGACTAGAGTGTTCTGTCTTGTCCTCTCCCCATTCCTATTCCCTTGTTCCAAAGGCTCACCTACCTCATTGTCAGACTCCACTAGAACTTGGTCATATTCACTAAGAGCAACTAAAAACATGATGGATGTCACATTTTCAAAGCAGTGTATCCACTTCCTTCGTTCTGATCTCTGTCCACCAACATCCACCATTCTGAGAAGGGAAAACACATACCAGAGAATGGTCAATAACTTCAGAGAAGGTCTGTCCCCAGGTCTTCCCATTGTGAATCCATGAACAATGGGGTATCCTATTACCAACAGTTCAGATCAATAATTGGCATGCTATCTCCTAAAGAAGGAGGTAAATGTTTCTTGACTATCGTTCCTGCAGCGATCAGAGCTATTCAAGTACAGGCTAGACAACCACTTGCCTAGGACCCCAGAGAGGGGATACATGCTTCAGAGCAGAGGTGGGATTAGAAGCCTTTTTAAAAGCACTTTGAGTTCTAGAATTCTGATTTAGGGAACTCAGAATAAGTGCCCCAGTCAATTAAATCAAGCACCCAAGCCAATCCATTTTAAAGGTTGAATGGGCTCCTTCCCCAAAGTATGGCACTCAACACCGCTATGCTAACTTAAATGAAGGGGACCAGTTTAATAACACTGCCCCTCTACACAGCCTGAATGAAGGCCCTTGTAATGGCACCCAGGCACTGAGCTATAGCAATAGTACACCTGGTCCTCTACCATATACCTTTCTAGAATCCCAGGTGCGTCTATCATTATTTACTCACAGTGTGTAACATGTAATAAAAGAAGTACCAAGTTCAGATCACAGCCTCTATAACAGCTTAAAAACTTCCCCCTAGCTAGTTAGCCTATGTCATAGTGATGTACTGGGGTCCTGTACCTAAAGAGAAAACGTTTTTGTAAGTAGTCTCGACAAACTTCATTAAGCTTCCCTACATTAAAGTTCCCTACTGGGCCCTACGCTCCAAACCTGTGAGTACAAATTATATTGTGAGCTACACAGTGATAGATGTCTATTGTGCCAGCAGCTAAGCCCTCCGGAGGGACATGTAGCCAAGTTAAGATAGCCAGCCACGAAAAGACATCACTCACAGAACAGGGGGTGCAAAGGAATGCTTGCAGTGAGGGAGCAAGCAGAAGCTATTTTAAAGGAGCTGATCTGTGGATCAACTGAAATTTAGGTTAAAGAAGGGCCTTCCCCACAACAGATCTCTTATTCTAGTCCCTAAAACTAGTGGCATTGCAAATCAGACTAGAGAAGTGACTCTGAATGGCAAGTAAACTGAATTAGAACCCCCCAGTTGACGTCTCTGTGGGCAATAGGCTATACTGGGGACACACACACACACACACACACACGACGGACGAGAGGCGTCTGCTGGGCACTGATGCCAGTGACCAAGGTCCAGTCCAGTTTTCCACTTTCAAGTCTTACTGACCTTGCTCAGGCTGGGACGCTCACAGACCTGCAGTTCTAAGTCTAGGGGTGGTCCCTTCGCCAGGCTCTGGAACACCCTGTACAAAGTTCAACCCAAGCGCTTATCAACCCACCCAGAAAGTGGCATCTAGGTACCTAAAGATGATGTTCTCCAGGTCGAAAGGGTATTCTATGATCCCAGTTGTGGGGACTCGAACCCGCAGCACATCCTGTTGGGTGGGTAAATACCCAGTGGTAGCAATACGGTCAACATCAGTTAGGTAGCTAAAAAAAAAACAAAAATCAAAAGCACAGGAAGGAGGATCCTTTAGATCAGCAACGCAAAGAAAAAAGGAAAGGGGAGAGTAGGGAGTTATCCTTCTATGCTTTTTGATGCTCCTTTAAGCCCAAGATGTCCCAACAGAAATGGGAGCATGCTTTGTTAACAGCAAGCACCCAGGCTCAAAATCTCAGTTATTACCTTAAATACTTTTCCCTGCACCTCATTTCTCACACCCAATCACTAAGCTCCACCATCCCACCTCTGTAAAATTTTCTGCTCACTCCTTTCTCTCTATTCCCCATACAGACCCTCATTACCACCCAACCTAGACTACTGCAGCAGCTTCTTGACCCGCCTTCTGGCCAACATCTCCCCTTCCTCCAAGTCACCCTTCATGTATTGACAAATCACTCGTCCTTAAAGAACCATTCTGGTTCTGACATTCCTCTGCTCAAAGCCTTCACTAGCTCCCTAGTGCTTAAAGGGGAAAGTCCAAATTCCCAAGCCCAGTATTTTGGGTTACGCACAATCTGGCCACTCCCCCTTTGTTTTTCTCTTACCCTCCTTGCCACCATGTACTCGACACACCATCCAAACTGGACTCTTTGCTGTCCCTGTTACACAACTTCATGCTTTCCTCTACTCACACCGACTCCACCATCTCAGGATCCTGCAGCCCCCCTGTCATCTCCACCTGATGAAAGCCTGTCTTTTAGGACCTGGCTCACATGCTGCCTCCTCGACAAAGCCTTGTCTCTTCTTTCCTGCTAGCAATGATCTGTCTCTCTTGTAAGCTCATACAGTGCTTCATTTCATCTCTCTGCTAGCGTATAAGCTATGCTTCCTAAATATTTTTAACTAAACAAGGAAAAGAGGGCGAGTATACACACTTCATACCTTCTCCCTTCCTGTAACAGACTTTTCTGAGGACAGATACTACCAATAGGTTATTTGAGAACAGGCAGAAGGAAGACATCAGTGGCTCTAAGAAGTACTAGGGCTGTGGGGCCATATAGGGTGAGAAAACCTCAGAGGAAAAAACAACTTGTTCATTCCTGGGGCTCAGGCCTCTCAAGCACATGAGCAGGAGGCGGTCTTCTGCATCAATGCCTTAGAAACAAGGCTTTAAATAAGTCAGTCATCTCATTTTCCCATATCAAGAAAAACCCTTAGCACCTAAGATAACACAATTTACCAACAAGACAACACAGAAACATGTAACGATTTGAGGGACGGTCAAAGTGACCAACCAGCTTTTTTTGGCTCTCCAACCTAGTTTCTATGATGTTCTCACATGACCACCAGTGGACAAGGGCCACTTGGAATCACTTCCAAAGGAAATGGTGCCATATGTCTATCCTATAGTCGAAGCTACCCACTGTTTCCTAAATGAAGGCAGCTGCACACTCAGCAGGCAGCTGGGAGAAGGGCCTGAGGGGAGCACTAGGCATCTTGAGATACCCAGCGGACCAGTCTCAGGAAGAAGCCAGTCTGTCTGTATTTAAGAACACATAAGCATTGATAGATATTGCTATCTTAGTAACCGCCAACTTATACAGGTATCCTTAACTTTGGCTATTTTATTTCGGAAAGTGATAGACTAACAATAAAACCCCAAACTGCAATATTTCTATCCCTTTGGGAGTCTTACAGGAATTATTGTGTTCTGGTCATTCCACAAACAAAACAGAGCCAAGACCTGATTGGAGTCTATCCTAATGTGGCAAAAGCCCATTCTAACAGAATTAAAGTAGGACAATTACTTGAATTTTCAGAAAAATCCAGCCAAGCACAGAGAATCTATGGGCAACTCAGACAGTCTCATTTGTCACAGTTCTTGTTTTTCTACTAAGTGTCAGACAGATCCCATACTTACTATTTGGCTGAGTCGGAGAGCTGATATTCTCGCCTCCTGTCATAACACTCCTGGATTCCAGGGTCATTCCACAAAGTCTTAATTGCACTTACATATTGATGCTCAAATGTTGTGACCTTTTCAACATCCACCTCTCTAATCAGCAGTGCATTGGCCTAAAGCAACGGGAAAAAAGAGAGGGTTAACTGGTTCCAGGTCTGGCCAATCTGTGCCCTTTTCTCACACAGGTATTAAATCTCACAGTCAGTCCATCAGGCAAGCTGTGAACATGACTAGCTTTGGTGACACAAAGAAGCAATTTAAAAACTGAGGATTTCCAAAATCATTTCATTTTCACTTGAATATTCATTCATCAGCTAGAAGAGAAGGTTTATTACTACATAGTCTTAGGTACAATTACATCAATAAGGTTTTCCCAAAAGCATACCACAATGCCTTCAGTGAAATGAATATATCCAGAAATTAGCATAACCAGTAGGGAAGGGCATTTTTACCCAAGTTTTTGTTTGTTTGTTTGTTTTGTTTTTGCTACACACATGAGGAGGTTTTGTCCTCACACACGTACATTTTCCAAAAAACCTGGAATGAAATTTCTGCCCTAATCCAACAGGGTGGAACCAGATGGCGTTTTTACTAAGGAGAACATTCAATTTCCTTTCTTAGACCTCTTTGGTTCTAATCTGATCAAAGTGATTTCTCAAAAAAATCTGAGTTGAAATGGATTTAAGGGTCATCTAGTTCAACTCCTATCAGAAACATGGTGGGAGGAGCCACAGAAGGTCATCACCAAGACCAAGCTCCCACCCCATTTCAGAATCCCCATTCTAAGGTTACCAACAGAGCCTCTGCTTGGAAACCTTCAGTGATAGGAATGTAGTATCTCACAAGGCAACCTGTTCCACTGTAAGCCAGCAGTAGAATGTAAGCTCTGTAGGGGCAATGACTTTTTTCCATTTTGTCTTTGTATTCCCAGCACTCAACCCTCTACTTACATTGTAGACAGTTAATAAATACTTACTGAATGAACAGGTAGAAAATAGTTAGAAAATTCCTTCTGATATTAAGCCCAAATGTTTTTAACTTTAACTTCTACTCATCAATTCTAGTTTTGCCTTCTGGGTGCCAAATAAAATAAATCTGGTCCCTCTTTCAAGTAATCTTAAAATTAAAGGCACAAATATTTAGCATAAATATTTACTAAACAACTAGTATTTGAAAGGCACTGTGCTAGGTGCCACCAATGCAAAGACAAAAATAAAACATTTCCTGTCTTCAAAAAGCTTATACTCTACTGGGGAGATAGAACAGCTCTAGAGATAAGTAAAGTATTTGAGCAGAAAAGAACACTTTTGAACATTTGAGCAGAAAAGGACAATTGGAGAAGGGCATAGATAAATCAAGGAAGGTTTTACAGAGATTGTGGTTCCTGAATTAAGTCTTGAAGGAAATCAAGGCTGTTAAGAGGAAGTAGTAGAAAAAGAGTACATTCCAGACCTCAGGGACACCCTGTGAAAAGCTATCATGAGGGTGGACTTATACCAGGAATGCAGGACTGGTTTACTATGAGGAAAACTATAAGCATAACTGGTCATATCAACAACAAAAACAATAAAAATCATGATTATATCAATACAGAAAAGGCTTTTGACAAAATACAACACACATTCCTATTAAAAACATTAGAAAGCATAGGAATAAATGAAGCTTTTCTTAACACCAAGAATGAGCATTATCTATAATGGAGATAAATCAAAAGTCTTCCTAATGTGATCAGAGGTAAAGCAAGGATATCCATTATCACCATTATTACTGAATATTGTATCAGAAATGCTAACTATAGGGGCAGCTAGGGGCGCAGTGGATAGAGCACCAGCTCTGGAGTCAGGAGGACCTGAGTTCAAATTCTGGCCTCAGACATATAACACTTACTAGCTGTGTGATTCTGTACAAGTCACTTAACCCCAACTGCCTCATCAAAAAAAAAAATGCTAACTCTAGCAATAAGAAAAGAAAAAGAAAATTGAAAGAAGAATAGGCAATGAGAAACAAAACTAATGTTCCTTGCAGACTAATGATGGCATACTTAAAGAACCCTAGTGAATCAAACAAAAAACTATCACACACAATCAATACTTAAGCAAAGTTGCAGGACATAAAATAAACCCACTTAAAACAGCATTTCTATATATTATCAATAAAATCCAGCAAAAAGAAATAGAAAGAGAAAATCCATTTGAAAAAACTGCAGAGTATAAAATACTTAGTAGATTATCTGAGAAGACATACCCAAGGAACTTTATTAATACAATTACAAAAAACTTTTCACACAAATAAGACAGATCTAAATGATGAGAGAAATATTAGTTGCTCATGGGTAGGCCAAGCCAATACAATAAAAATGACAGTTCTACCCAAAATTTATTTATTCAGGGTCCTACCAATTAACCTACCAAAGAATTATTTTATAGAGCTAGAAAAAAATAACAAAATTCATCATATTCATTTGGAAGAACAAAACGTCAAGAATATCAAGGGAATCAATGAAAAAAATGTGAAGGAAAGCAACCTAGCAGTACCAGATTTCAAACTATATTACAAAGTAGTGATCACCAAAACAATCTGGTACTGGCTAAGAAATATAGTGGTTGAGCAGTGGAACAGATTAGGTACATAATACAGAGAGGTAAATGATTGATGCAATCTAGTATTTGATAAGCCCAAAGACCCAAGCTTTTGGGACAAAAATTAAAACTTAGGAAAACTGGAAAGCAGTCAGGCAAGACACCAGGCACGGACCAACATCTCATACCATATACCAAGATAAGGTCAAATTTGGCATATTATTTAGACATAAAGGGTGTTATCATAAGCAAATTTGGAGAACATGGAAACAATTAACTGCTAGATCTATAGATAAGGGAAAATTTTATGACCAAACAAGAGGATGTAAAATGAAAAATTCTGATTACATGAAATTTTAAAGGTTTTGTACAAACAAAACCAATGCAGCCAAAACTCAAAGGAAAGCAGGAAATGGGGAAGGGAAATGTTTACAGCAAGTTTCTCTGATAAATGTCTCACACTTCTCAAATACATAGGAAATTGAACCAAATTTATAAAAATAAGAGCCATTCCCCAATCGATAAATAGTCAAAGGATATGAACAGGCAGTTTTCAGACAAAGTAATCAAAGCTATCTATATTCATATGAAAATATGCTCCAAAACACTAATAACTAGAGAAATACAAATTAAAACAACTCTGGGACATTACCTCACACCTATCAGATTGGCTGATATGACAGAAAAGGAAAATGACAAATGCAGGAGGGGATGTGGAAAAATAGGGAAACTAACACTCTACTAGTAGAGTTGTGAACTGATCTAACCATTCTGGACTGCAATTTGGAACTAAGCCCAAAGAGCTATAAAACTGTGCATACCCTTTGACCCAACAAACCACTACTAGGTCTGTATTCCAGAGACCAAAGAAAAAGGGAAAGGATATACAAAATACATATAAAAATATTTATAGCAGCTCTTTTTGTGGAGGCAAAGAATGGGAAATTAAGAGGATGCTCTTAATTGGAGAACAGCTGAACAAGTTGTGGTATATGATTGTGACAGAATATTATTGTGCTGTAAGAAATGATGAACAGGCTGACTTCAGAAAAACTTGGGAAGACTAACATGAACTGATGCAAAATGAAGTGAGCAGAACCTGGAGAATCTAGTACACAGTTAACAGCAACATTTTTTTTTAAATAGCAATATTGTAGGGGCAGCTAGGTGGCACAGTGGATAGCGCACCGGCCCTGGATTCAGGAGGATCTGAGTTCAAATCCGGCCTCAGACACATAACACTTACTAGTTGTGTGGCCCTGGGCAAGTCACTTAACCCCACTGCCAAGCCAAAAGAAAAAAAAATATATATCTATATATAGAGGGGTGTGTGTGTGTGTGTGTGTGTGTGTGTATATGTATATATGTGTATATATATGTATGTGTGTATATATATCTATTTCACAGTAACAATGATCAATTGTGAAAAACTTAGTTACTCTGATCAAGATAATGATCAAAAACAATTCCAAAGGACCCATGATGAAAAATACTACGTCCATAGACAGAACTGATTAACTCTGAGTGCAGAATTAAGCATATTTTTTTCCACTTTATTTTTCTTGCTTTTTTTAAAAATAACATGACTAATAAATATGTTTTGCATGACTTCACATGTATAATGGGAATCATATTGCTTGCCTTCTCAATAGGTAGAGGAAAAGTGGAAGGGAGGTAGAGAATTTGGAACTCAAAATTTTTAAAATGAATGTTAAATAAAAACAAAGAAAAAGAAAAAAAAAAGAAAAGGTACCATGATGAAAGATGAAATTCCTATTCAGCTAGAAGGCCAATAGGCCAGCAGATCAGTCTGGCTAGAATACAGAACACATGAAGGAACATAGTACGAATAAGTAGTGCCTTAAATGTGAAACTGAAGAGTTTGTATTTTATCCTAGAAGCAACAGAGAACCTCTGAAGATTTCTGAACTGGGGAATAACATGAACAGATCTACGCCCTTGGAAAATTATTTTGTAAGGGTTGTGATAGATGGACTGGAGAGAAGAGCAACTAGAAAAGGGACAATCCAGTAGGGGGCTACTAGAATAGCAAGATAGAAGTGATGAAGACCCCAAACTAGGGTAGAAGTCATGTGAAGGTGAAATAAGGGAATGGATCTGAGAGATGAACTGGCAGAAGTCAAGGATAACTTGATGTTCTCAAGGTGGGTGCCTACAGTGAAACAGCAGAACCTTCAATGAAAAAAAGGGAACTTTAAAAGCAGGCTAAATTGGGAAGGGAACATCATGCCTTTTTGGTTCTGGACACTTTGTGGATGGCTTTTCTGAGAACAATGGCTTACAGTGATGGTAAGGTCAAATGAAAGTTTGAGGATAGGAGATACCAGGATATATTTGTAGGCAGCAGGAAAAGGGACAGAAAATAGGAAAAGATAGAAGACGAGAGATAAAGATGCAGTGACTAAAGAAGCAACTCCCAAAGAGACATAACAAAGGGCATAACAGGCTTGGCCTTAGAAAGGAAAAGGGTCACCTATACCTTAGAGTCAAGAAAAGGAAAAAAAGATGATGGT